AAAAAACCAGAATCATACCAGGTGGCAATTAGAAACCAAATACTCTACTGTCAATCACTGCATTAAGTTTATTCTGACCTGTTTTTTGACAAAGCATCAAAGAAAAGAAATAAGTAATACCCTCCTTGCCCCCAGGAGATTAAGGCAGAACAGACCAGGATTCTGAAAGAAAGCATTTCATTCAAGTCTAGTTGGGTTTGTGGGCATTCCTTTTGTCTCTAAATTCTTCACTATCATTTCTCTAAGACACAAATGGATCCCTACGTCCAACAGCCCAGGAAACCCATACCAGTACTGGGGTGGCCATGTGACAAAAATTCCACTCCTCTTAGCCCGTTTCTGTGGTGCTCCTTGTTGGCTTAGTGCTCTTCTGCCTTTCCAAGATTCCCAAGTCCAATTGCACACAGGAGTGTTTTAATGATAGGGAATTACTCTCTCAAATTTTTTTTTTCTTGGATTCCTGGAAGCTGAATGGCCCAAAGGCTCAACCATGGGCTATGGATCCAGGCTTGCCTGCCCTCCAAAGTTCTGGGAGGACTTGGACAAATAGTTTCATCTTTTAAACCTGTCTGGCCTTGGTTTTCTTGTTCATAAGCAACCTTGGGAAATATTAGAGGTTTAATAAATAGGAACTAGTGATTGAATGTTTATTAGTGTTCAGACACGTCTTAAGTGCTTTAGGAGCATTCACTTACTTCTCGAAACAATTTTACGATGAAGGGACTATTACTATATTGTCCAGATAATATAATGAGAGCCGATAGAGGCATAGAAAGGGAGGGCTGGTAAGACAAAGGAGGTTCAAACCCAGTCTGGTTTCACAGATGAGACCTTCATCACTCTGCTATATGACCTTTGGCTGAGGTTAGCTCTCTCCCCATACATAAATATTTGTATGTCTACTAAGTGTCTGCTTTTTTGCCAACTATCCTGCTAAAATAGGCTAAGGAACTGTATTGGAAATGAACCAGAGAAATAGTAACAACTAAGACACAGTTCCTGCCCTTGTGGAGTTATTTTTCTTTTTTTCCACTTTGTAGAGTCAGATTACAGGGGTTCAATTTTCGTCTGAGTTCAAAAACATTACTCAAGATGATCTTCAATTGAATTCAACAGAATTAATAGTGAAATTCAGAAACAAAGATATGTCAAAATAGCTTCAATGTGAATTCATATTTAACCTACAAAGCACTTTATGAACCTTTGAGTAATTAAAGCAAGACAGTGGGGCTTTCTCTTTTGATTTGTCTCTTTAAAGTGATGAACTAAATGCTTTTTCTGGCCTGTGCCCAAGAGCCTACAAAATTCCTTGAACTTACCAGTTTAAATCCTCCCCAATTCACCTCTCTTAAGAAACCTCCATTCCCTGGAGCTGCCTTCAGAAGGGTTAGCATTAATTCTGCAAGGAAAAACCAGGGTCCATCACCCTGCTGCAGCAATCACTTTCATTAGGGAGGAAATTAGTGCTAGGAAAGTATTACTCCAAAGTAGTCATTAAATTCATTTGAACTTGTAAGCAATAATGCTGTCATGTAGTTATATTTTGCCCTGATTTTTAACATAGAAACTCGAATTCATGATATTTTAGACTGTTCACAAGACAACTTTCCTGCTAGATGTAGACATGAACCAACAGAAATCCTGTCCATTTGTGCATTACTATAAATGCCAGGCGTGCTCACCGTGCCGCAGACCTCCTGAAACTACAAAGGTGTGTTGGTTTCAGAGAGGAAACAGGCAGATAAAAAGCAACTATGTCAAGTATATAACAGATGTCGCTCAGAAGACTGAGAGCAAAAAGAGCTGAATATGTTTCTGGACGATGTCCTCTTTCATAAAGTACAAACCTGACAAGGGAGAGCTGGGTTAGAAAGTGAGGGGGGAAACTTGGATTCTTTCCTTCTGAAATAACCGTGTTACTACTTCCGAGTGATCCGAGACATGGAGAAGTTCAAATACTTAGGTGGAACATTGTAATGATGACCAACGAGATAAAAATGCAGAGCATCTTGTAGAAGTTGTACAGTTCTCAATGTAGCTTATAGTAAAAAGTTCTGACAACTGAATAATTGCAAGATATGCTTCTTGTAGTGCTGGAATTACTTTCATTAAAAATAAAGTATCCTGGGAGAGAAATGAAGTGTCCTTTCAAAGAGGTGAGCAGGCAGTTGTTAATGGTGGGCTGAGTGGACTTCCCCAGATGGCAGAGAGGCAAGTGGAAGAATGTGGGGGCTGGGTTTGCAAGCAGAACGACAACCAATATTGCCGCTCTACAAAAGTAATAAGAAAGCTTTTTTTTTTTTTAAATTCAATTTGGAATTGAGTATATGGAACCACAAGATGTTTTAAAGGGATCATTTATTAAACTTGGAATTGAACTCCTTTATGAACTCAACTGTAATTTTGTTATTGGGTTTTAAAAATCAGGCAACTTCTTTTGTGTTGTTCGGGTAAGGGGAACGGGTGTAAATCTGTTTAGCTTTTCTAGCTATTCTTCCCGTTGACTACCGTGGGTCCAAACCTGAAGAGGTCTTTTCCAGTATTTGATGAAGTATCATTATAGACCAAGAATTGTTGGTAGCGTTTCGGGAGCTGGTGTGACGAAGCAGATTCGCGGTAGCTCGATTATTGGGGCCAAGCCATACTTTCCAAGGTGCGTTTTTGCGACTTAATTGAAGTGCGGGTCCTGCCGGTTGTTTGCGAACTGTCCAAGCAGCTTCTGAAACTGCTATTTTTCCAAGTCCGTTAAAAACTTATTTCCGCTTAGGATGTTAGGTTCTGCTATTTCCCCACCCTCTTTTCCCCTGGCTTTTGCCAGTAGAGACCAGCCCTGGGGGGTATTTTGTCCTGGGAGCACAAAACTATTTTCTGGAAATAAGTTGACGTCAACTAAGAGCTGTTTTTGGTTGCTTTGTTTCCCGGAGCGTCCAACCCAAGCACACCGCCTCCGGCAAATTGCAGCAATTCAAAGCAGCTCGCCCAGCAGGGAGGGGAGCTGGAGTAGGGTGGGGGTGAACTCCGCCACCCACAGGAGTGGGGAGATCTGGGGAGCGGCTCCCCCGGGGCCCCGTGCCCCGGGGGGG